ACATGTCTTTTCTCTCTGGTTGGTTTTTGTCTTTGGTGTTCCATAGCTTCAACTATGATATAAAAGAGATGAGTTTAGTTATTTATTTATTTACTTAAATTTTTTCTGCTGCATGATAGATTACATCTTTAATCTAAAGACTCAATTTTCATCAACTTGGAAAAACTCTCAACCAACCACCAGCTCTCAGAATGGTGCCTTCTCCTTTTCTATTTCCTCTCCTTCTGAAACTCATTAAATTTGTTATCTTTTGGACCTTCTGGTTCTATCCTCTGCATTTTAAAACTACTTATGTTTTATGTTTTTCTGTGCCACATTATCTTCCACTTCACAAATGCTCCCTCAAGTATGTTCCATCTGCTGTCCAAACCATTCAAAACATAACGTTTTTTATTTTGAAGACCACATTTTTCATTTCCAAACATTTGATTCTTTTTCTAATCTATTTAATTTTCAAAATATTTTGTTCTTTCCTTAATATTCTGAGCCCCTCTATTACGTTGCATATCATTTCAATTATATGTTCCACTTATAACATCTTTTACATTGTCATTCAGTCATTTCAGTGTCTTGAGAATCTAAGCCAGTCTTTAATTATGTTTTCCTGACTCTTTCTATGGTCCCTAGATGTCATAGGTTTTGGGAATGCCTTTCCAGAGAGACCTTATATTTGCCTCTGTAAATGCTCCAGGAGTTTTAGTATCCTGGTGCCAATTTTAATGCTAACTTTTCATCTTGAGCATTATAGTATAATTTTAAACCAAAATGTATCATTTCTAAATAAACTTAACATTCAAATAACTTATAATAACCATTTTAAGGGATAAAAACATGGACAAAATAGGTTTAATCAATGAGGCAAATATATACCTTTTCAGCTGAAGAACCTGTCAGAACAAAAGTTGAAAAAACTGGAAGTGGATATTTGGTGTGAGGGTCCCAGCATTCAATCGTGGCTCCCATAGGGAGACAGAAAAGAGGTACAGATTCTGAGAGTGGAAATGACTCATAGTCATCTTCTGGATATCTAAAAATTAAGCCTTTTAGAGAAAGGAGACAATGATGAATTCTTTAAATATAGTCACTTCTCCATAAATAATATACATTAATAGAATATTTTAATACTAAATTTCATGGCAAAATTTATGTGAAATTACAACATCAATTTTCTTTTAAACAGAAATTAAAATAAACTACCAATTTACCCTTTTTATTTTACCCATGGGCTTATAATTAATTATAACATAGAAATGTATTAAATATACTAGTCAAGGCTCTACGCCCATAGCACCAGTGGTTATGGTGCCAGCCACATACACCGAGGCTGGAGGATTCAAACCTAGCCCAGGGCCATCTAAATAACAATGACAACTGCAACAAAAAAGTCAGACGTGGCAGGCACCCACAGTCCCAGCTACTTGGGAGGCTAAGGCAGGAGAACTGCTTGAGGCCAAGAGTTTGAGGTTGTGGCTCAGTGCCTGTAGCTCAAGCAGCTAGGGTGCCAGCCACATAAACCAGAGCTGGTGGGTTTAAATCCAGTCCAGGCCCGCCAAACAACAATGACAACTATAACCAAAATATAGCCGGGCATTGCGGTGGGCGCCTATAGTATGGTGGGAGGCTGAGTCAAGAGGATCGCTTAAGCCCAAGAGTTTGAGGTTGCTATGAGCTGTGACACCACAGCACTCTACCCAGGGCGACAGCTTGAGACTGTCTCAAAAAAAAAAAAAGAGTTTGAGGTTGCAGTGAGTTATGACACCACCGCACTCTACTGAAGGCTACTAAGCGAGACTCTGTCTCCAAAAATAAATAAATAAATAAATAAACAAACTAGTTAATTTTATATTCAACCGATTTTGATCATCAATCTTACTGTGGCTCGGCACCTATAGCTCAACCGGCTAAGGCGCCAGCCACGTACACCTAAGGTGGCGGGTTCGAATCCCCAGCCCGGACCCGCCAAAACAACAATGACAGCTGCAACCAAAAAAAAAAAATAGCCGGGCGTTGTGGCGGGCGCCTATGGTCCCAGCTACTTGGGAGGCGGAGGCAGGAGACTCGCTTGAGCCCAGGAGTTGGAGGTTGCTGTGAGCTGTAATGCCACGACACTCTACCCAGGGGGACAGCTTGAGGCTCTGTCTCAAAAAAAAAAAAAAAAAAAAAAACTTACTGTATTTGCTTCTACATATGCCAAAACCTTGTGCAGAATGGCAAGAAACACACAGAAAAATTTATCAACTATTTCGGTTGGTCTTCTGTAAAACATTCAGAGAAGGGACAACTATTATGAAATAATGCTAAGGCAACAGAAATTATCACAGTCCCTAAACTCATCAAAGAGACACACTGTAAAAGGCATGCAACATGGCTTGGCACCTGTGGCTCAAGCAGCAAAGGCGCCAGCCACATACACCTGAGCTGGCATAGTTGAATCCAGCCTGGGCCCGCCAAACAACAATGATGGCTGCAACAAAAAAATAGCTGGGCGTTGTGGCAGGTGCCTGTAATCCCAGATACTTGGGAGACGGAGGTAGGAGAATCACTTGAGCCCAGGGAGTTGGAGGCTGCTGTGAGCTGTGATGCCACAGCACTCTACCCATGGCAACAGCTTGAGGCTCTGTCTCAAACAAACAAATAAACAAAAAAGACATGCAACATGAGAAGTAAATGAGAGAGAGACCCTCATGACTGAGTACAGCGTATGTGAAACCCAGAAAACAGAAGTAGGGGGCACTCTGAGTACCATAAAAAAAGCCACTTCAGGCTCACCACCTGTCGCTCAGTGCCTCGGGTGCCAGCCACATACACCAGAGCTGGTGCGTTCGATCCCAGCCTGGGGCTGCCAAACAACAATGACAACTACAACCAAAAAGTTGCCAGGCATTTTGGCAGGTGCCTGTAGTCCCAGCTACTTGGGAGGCTGAAGCACAAGAATCGCCTGAGTCCAAGAGTTTGAGGTTGCTGTGAGCTGTAATGCCACGACACTGTACTGAGGGCAACATAATAAGACTCCGTCTCAAAAAAAAAAAAGCTCCTTCAGAATAAAGTAGCTAGATGGCATCAGTTAACTAGCCTGTAATGTCTCCAATATACCTGTAAGCTAAAAACTTGAAAATCAGTAGAATTTTTTAGTCCAAATTCAGTCTCAAAAACTCTGTAGTCTAAATTAAGTATCACATATGAAATACCTGAATACTTTCACAAAGCTTCTTTCTATAAAATTTTTTAAGTGATACTTTCTCCCCACCAAAAAGGAAAACATTTTAGAAAACCACATACAATCAAAATGTTACAGCAGCATTCAGCATTAACAGTATCACATTTAAAAATAATCTTGAATTTTATAGTTGTTGCCTTTATTTTATATTATAAATTAAATGGTTTGATTCATTAGTGTGAATATTTTTATGAGGACAATCAAGAATTTTCAGATATGGATTTGTCTAACTTTCGTAAAGTGAAACTTTATTCCATAAACTGTGTATAGTCAAAAATTAATAGGCACTGCTTCTTTTCACAAAGAAGTATTCCAGTATCTCTTCTATTTACAACTGGAGCATACCTGTATTTTCAGTTTTTATCCCACCATACCAGTGGGATGAAGAGGTCACACTTAAATCTTTACAGCCCTTGACACTTTACTGTGCAGTAAGAATATGACGAAAGATTTCTCAAATACTTCATGGCAGAAAAGTTTCTCAGGCCCTCCTCTCCTCCATATAGCTGATTCTTTGCAACAAGGGAGAAAGGAAGAAAGTCCACCTTTCATGGCAAGTGACATGGTTTCAAATCAGACACACAGAGATAAGAAAAGGAAATATAAGAAGTAAAGATGTATGTTGACATCTTTCTGATGCCAAAATATAAAAGGTCCGAGAATAAGCAACTTTCCATTAAATGGTTAAATCTATTAATGTAGACCAAAACTTGAATGTTTATTCCATATCATATTCCATATTGATTTCTTTGTATAAAAGTTTAAACGTAATTAATAGCATGTCTGTGTGTGTGGGAGGGGTGTATTAATATACCTTGTACTATGTAATATATTTAAGAAAACCTATGCTTTTTTCTTCGCTCAAGAATTGCTTAAGACTACACCTTTAAAATTATAGACAATTTAATTTTATGAATAGATCAATTCCACAAACTATATAAAGACTCATATTTTGTCTCTACTAGCTAAATGTGAATAAGCACCAATAAACATAGTAATACTAGTAATACAATTTCTTAAAATTCACTTACCAGCTTTATATGCTATTGCATTTGAAGCAGGTACAGACTTCTTATAACAAAGAAACACACTGGAACCCCACTGTAAAATATAAATTAGGTTTATAAAAAGACAAGTGAATTGATTGTACTGAAAGCCATCTAAAGATTCTTATTATTCAGGAGAGTCTATTTAAAACTTATCTTTATCTAACAGACTATAAAGTATAAACTATAGCAAAGAATGAAGTTGAAAACACTAAAATTGGAGTGGCACCTGGGGCTCAGTGGGTAGGGCACCAGCCCCATATACCGAGGTTGGTGGGTTCAAACCTGACCCCAGCCAAATTGCAACAGAAAATAGCCAGGCATTGTGGTGGGTGCCTGTAGTTCCAGTTGCTCAGGAGGCTGAGGCAGGAGAATCGTGTAAGCCCAGGAGTTGGAGGTTGCTGTGAGCTGTGACATCACAGCACTCTACTGAGGGAGACATAGTAAGATTCTGTCTCAAAAAAAAAAAAAAAACAGTGACATCACAGCACTGTACTGAGGGTGACATAGTAAGACTCTGTCTCAAAAAAAAAAGAAAAGAAAAGAAAAGAAAACACTAAAATTGGCTCAGCACCATAGCTCGGTGAGTAGGGCGCTAGCCACATACATCAAGGCTAGTAGGTTCAAGCCATTGTGGTGGGCACCAATAGTTGCAGTTACTTAGAGGCTGAGGCAAGAAAATCACTTAAGCCCAAGAGTTTGAGGTTGCTGTGAGCTGTGATGCCCACTGTACTCTACTGAAGGCAACATTTGACTCTGTCTCAAAAATAAATCATAAAAATTAGAGAGCTAAAAATAATTAAGAAAAATACTAAAAACAAAAATCACTGAAGTATAAAATAGGATGAATTAAAGTGAACAGGAATCAAAAAAGTATCAAAAATGAAATAACTTTATTCTTACCATTCCACAATTTAAGTTTCTGTCAACTTTACAAAAGGTATGAGGTGGTGTTTCTCCTTTACTGGTTACAATAACACAGATATCAGTTACAGCCAAGGAATTCTGGGGTCGAATCGGAGGAGCCCTTCGATAAGTGATAAAGATTCTTTGTGAAGTAGTTGAACTATTGTTGACATTGGCACAGCGACCATAGGGTGTGGCTTGGATCACTTCACAGCCTGGAATAAGCCGTTCCTTCCCTTCATATAAAACTCTGCATGGTAGGGAGGAGAGAAATAGATACATACATATATATGTTTAAGGTTATTGCTGGTTTTCTTCTTGAAACAAAAATTTTAAAAACAAATTTGCTCTGACTAGGCTCTGGGTGAAAAAAAGTTAGATCTCTCCCATTGTTCCCCAAATCTTAATTACAAACCAAAGTTAAAATCATTAACTTGGGAACTATAATTCTATGAACTATTTCAAAAGCTAAAATATACTTTAAGAGAGATATAGGGCCAAACAACTTGATTTTTTATTGCTTACTACAAGAAACACGAAAAAAGAAAGAGGCAATACCAAAAACATTCTCGATCAATTCCTATAAATTTTATTAAATATTATAATGGCTTCACAAAAATTTCCTTCATAATTCCTGTCAAACTTTTACCTGTAAAAATCCTTTAACCAGAAATCATAAAACATTATTTGAAGAAAGTAAATGCTAAAAGCCAAGCTATCTCATGCTCATGGAACAAAAGATAATATTGGTAAGATAGCAGTATTATCCAAATAGATCTACACAGTCAATGCAATTCCTATCTACATAGGAACTAATGGCTCGGCGCCTATAGCTCAAGTGGCTAAGGCACCAGCCACATACACCAGAGCTGGTGGGTTCGAATCCAGCCTGGTCCTGCCAAACA